AGGACTGATCATTTGGCCATGGGTCCTTAGTTAATTTGAATGAATGTGACAGTATTGCCATATAGTTGCAATACCTAATGAACTCCACTCCCAGCACCCCTAACAGATGTCAACGGAAAAAAAGACTAAACTCTGTAAAACAATTTTAAAGAGATTTACTCTGAGCCAAATTTGAGGACCATGACCCGGAGCCACGCCCAAGAGGCCTTGAGCAAGTGGACTCGCAGAGGTTGGGTTACAGTTTGGTTTTATACATTTTAGGGAAACGGGTTACAGGTGAAGTCATAAATCAGTACGTGGGAGGCATACATTGGTTTGGCCGAAAAGATGGGCCATCTCGAAGTGGGGACTTACAGGTTATAGGTAGGTTTAAAGATTCTTTGGCTTGTAATTGGTTAAAGACATGAAGCTTTGTCTAAAGGCTTGGAATGTTTTATCATAAGGAACTCTTTATCAGAGATAAGCCACTGGACATATGGTTGTTGTGTAAATTGAGGACCTGAAGGTTTGTCTTGCATACTCTTAGGCCTGTTAATGGGTTACAAAGGATGTCCCCAAGAAGGGAGGGGGGGCATGATAAGGCATGTCTGACCTCCTTCCTCCTGGCAGGCAATTTAGTTTTAGGATATTCCTTTGGCCACAAGGGGGTCCATTTAGTCAGCTGGTGGGGCGGGGGGTGAGCCTTAAAATTTTATTTTAATTCACACAGATAAAAAATATATGTGACTTTACAAAGATGAACCAGGCCACAATCAGAGACAATAGACATTTTTAAAGAGGCTCATTCTGCGATTTCAATTTAAATTCAGTTTAGCGTTAGTGGGGGTTGTTGATCTCCTGACCAAACCAATTACAAATCTGGTGAGGTAGCATGTTTGCCATGATGCTGGAAGAGGTGACAATAGCCCCTATCGCAGCGCTACCTACTGAGTGGGGTCAGGCCACATGGTGCCATGTATCTGCAAGAGGATGGACAAGACATTTGGGAGCTCCTTTAAATGAAAATTTACTTTTTGCTGTCGCTGCTTCACTAACTTCCAGTGTCAAAATATTGTCATCTATGGATGAGATCCAAAGAACATCAAGGATGGTAAAAAGAGTTAATCAGGCAACGAAATGTGATTACATCAGTAAAGAAAAACCAAGAATTTTAAAGACCATTTGTTGTTTTAGGGCAGACCCTATAAATAGGAATAAATGACTGATTTCAGAATAAATGACTTATTTTCTAACGAGGTAGGGTTTGTTCATTTGATGGCTGTACTGCTTTTGTTACAAGTAGGAAATATGCAGGACACTTATTCTGAAATAACCCCACCTGCTGACTTTCCTACTTTTTCATCAATGTTAAACATCAGATTGTCCTATGATAGTCCTTTACAGATAAAAAAAAAAAACTATATTCAGGAAATAGTTTTGATCCTATTATTAAAAATTCTTACACAAGAAGACTGCTGGTATCTGACCAGATGTATTTGGAAAGCTTTGAAACCCACAGAGGAAAGCCCATATTCTCTGTAAGCACACAGCCGGTGGTGGCCCCTTCTGCAGCTGTCCTACTGGGCAACCCAGATGGGGAGCAAGTGCAACCCAGGTGAGTACGGGGTGAAGCTGGGATGAGAGCAGATGTGGCTTAAGTTCAGGCTGAATCCTCTTTGGGGTACAATTGTTCTTTCTTTACAAAGCTGCCCCTCCTTCCTGGAACCACATAAAAAGAGCTTGTGGGGCTACTAGAAAACTCCCAGGTGACCTAAAGTTACCCAATTCTCCTTTCGCAGAATAAATCCTTTCCCTAACCTCACTCTCAGAGTAGATACAGAAATTTTATTTTCTCAGTTCTCTAGGGCAGCCTGTAATCAAACCTGCTAACGTGTCCTGACTACCTTAGTGCCATTTTGGAAATCTGCTCCATTGGAAAAGATCCACAAATAACACTAGATACTATCAACAAGGCCCTTGGACCTCACAAACCTATCACAGAACAAATTGACTCCCTGGTCTCTCTGGAAACAGGGCAGTGGTTCCCATCTGAAGGTTCGTAGCCTGAAACCTTCTAGCTTTCCAAAGAGGGTTATTCCAGAATTGGGGAATATTTTAGAGCCTGACACAGAGAACTAGTTTTGGAGTCAGCTCTGGTGTCAAGACTTGGATGTACCAATTAGAGCTGTATGAATGTGGGATAAATTTCCTTACCTTTCAATCAGGGATTAGGATGATCTGCCCTGTTAACAGTGTCATGAGAATTAAGTGAGAGACCATCTGCAAAGTGCTTAACCTGCTGCTTATCTCTCAGTAAGCACACAGCAAATAGGGGAATCTGATCAGGATATCCCTGGCCCCCATATGAGACCAAAGCAATTGGGTTTAGGTGCCAAACTACTGAAATGACCCCTGAAAGGAAGTTTCACCCATAAGCAGGCCTGGAGACAACTCACACTGAAGTTATGTGGCATTCTTCCTGAACACGGCCTCTTCCCCACCCCACCCTCCACACTAATCCTCCACACAGCAAGTCCTTCATTGCAGCGTCCACATCGATATTCACTCCAGTTCCAGGTTGTCAACTAAAATCCAGAGGAGGGGTGAAGATCCTTGCACACTCTATTCCCAAGAATGTCTCATTGCAAATGGTTGCAGCACCATAGTTAAGGCTGAGCATGGACTTTGAATTCAGATCTGAATGGGAATAATTTCCCCCTTCACTAATTACTGTCTTATGTGAACATGGCCAATTTAACCTCTTTGGACCTGCTTTCTTGTTTATACAAAGAGAATAATACCTAATTGAGAGGCTGAAAGGATTCAATGAGATAACACTGACATGTAAAGTCCTTAGCTGGCATGTAATAGGAGCTCAATTCATAGCTATTGATCCAATTCAAAAAGTGCTAGGTAACCACAGTCTTTTGGGTTCTCAGAAACTAGCAAGTGAGTTAAAACCAGCATCAAAAGATAAGCTTGAGGTCAGATCCTCTTTAAACAAACACTGATGAATATACATTCTGCCTTTAATAAACATTTCAACAGGCCTGTTGAGCTATGGCTCACAGTTTACTTACTTTACCTATTCAGATTTCTTACCTTATTCACAAGAAGTTATTTGTGCCAGGCAAGGTGCACACTGCTTAAAATCAGTAATTTATTTTAAATTAGCTTCCCCTGGTAAGTTAGGAAGAAAGAACCAATTTTTTGATTACCTAAAGAATATTACTACATTGTGTGTATTAGTATCCTCTTTTTTACAAATTGGGAAAACAGGACTAGGGCAAAACTTACCCAGGCAGGGGAGACGTAAGTGTCAGAAGAAGAAATTGAATGCAGGTCTGCCTGATCAGGTTGCCCATCTTTTTGCCCCTTGTTTGCACTGACCTTTCAGTTTCTCGGGTTTATTCAAGAGCATGCCTTCTAAATAGGCTTCTCAGGAAGCCATTGTTCAACTAATAGAGACCATTTACTGGCATTCGAAGGCTGTAAGAATTGTAGTCAATTATGAGTGTAAAATATGGTTGTCAGCTCGCTTTTCCAGAGGTGATAGCCACCCCGATAGTGACTACTCCGTCTGCCCGCTTGAAACGCGCCAGGTAGATTGATTTTTGAATTATGATTCACCTCCCTTTTCCTGTTTTGATGAAACACGGAGCCTGAGCCATCGCTGTTTCCACCCCGCAAATTCGCGCCATAATGAGTCTAATTGGCTGACGCGCAGGTGGGATTTCCTGTCGCCATTTTAAGGACACACGACTCCTCTGCAGGGAAATGCCCAGTTAAAAGGGGCTGTGTCTGAAACAAAGAGTAAGCACAAGGAAGGGAGACAGGCCGCGTTGCTCCTGCCCTCCTCTCCATCCCGCTCCCTCGGCCCCGCCGCCCCCGGACTTAGAGCGCCCCAGCTCGCTTAGCCCCGACGCCGGGTCCTGGGGGGAGTCACGTGGGGTCTTCGGGCCCCGCAAGGGCTGGCCCGGCCTCTTCGCGCCCAGGCAGGTGCGCGCTGGGAGCTCACCAAAGCCTTCTGGTCGCGTCACACCCAGGCCCCTCAAACCGAGCTCCAACAGGGCAGGTCTCAGGAAGAGCTGGCGAGGGCTGCGGGTGCTGGATCCGGAAGAGGGGAAGCGCCTCCCGCTGCGGGTTAGGGACAAAGGGTTTCCAAAGGTGCCCGCGCGCCCCGTTCCCTCCGGCTGCTTCGGTCCCCTTCCCGCCAACCCGGGCCGTTTGCGGATGGGCCCCGGAGCCAACCCACCGCTCCGTCGCTGCTTGCAACTCCGGGCGCTGCCAGCGGCTCGCGGGGCTGCGCTCCGACCAGCCACTCCCGCGGCCATCCTCTCGCTGCGCCATACCCACAATGCAACTCCCCTCGCTCCTTCGGCCCCGGCCGGGCTCCGGCGCGCCCCAAAATGCAGCCCCTCCCAAAGCGCACGGCCCTCCTTTCCGCCGCCGGTGCCCCTTTAGCCGGCCCACCTCGATCCCTAAGGGTTCCCATTCTCCAGCTGCCGCCGCAGCTGGGTTCTAAGCACGCCGCCGGGCCCCGGTAGGACGCCGGGCAGGTGCCCCGGCAGCGCGCAGCCTCCACTCCTGGTGCCACCTCCAGTGCGCCCGGCACGCGCGCGCCCCGCAACCCCTCCCTCACCCCTTCCCCGCCGCTCAATCTCCGCCAGCCGCGGTCGCTGCATCGTCCGGGAGCTGCGAGAGGGTGGCAGCAAGGCGCGGCCACCAGCAGTGACACCATGTGACGGGCACGGCTCAGTGACACGCAGCCTTGGTTAAAGAGCGGGCGCGCAGGAGGGGAGGAGACGTCGCGCGGGACGGGGAGGAATGGCCTGACTTTCCCCTTTAAACCATCACGAGCCATGGATACAGAAGGGCGACGCGGCCCCCAGCCGGAGAATGAATAGGATTCGAGACCCTCAGCGCCCGCGCGTGTCGATGTAAGTGCGAGGCCGGTGAGCAGAGTGTGGGTGGGGGTTGGTGGTGGGGGGAGATTCTGATGCAATCGGCCCCGAAAGGAGGAGGAGAGCCAGGCGAGCGCGGGTTGGGGCAGCCACGCCACTCCGCCTGAAGGTCGCTGGGAACCTCCGCCCTTCACCTTCCTCGGAAATCCGCCACGCCGAGCCAAGCCTCCCCGCCCAGCCCCGGCTGAAGGGGCCACCTTTTCCCGGCCGCCGCAGCCAGACCTTGACACAAAGGACATCAAACGGCCCGGGATAAAAATCCCGGAAGGGCGGACACCTCAACATCGCCTTTTGTCACCTTTCCCTTTATTTCCCGAGGTAAGGTGATTTTCCGTTCCGGGGAGCGTTGAAGGAGCTGCAGCGGGGATGTTTTAGATGTGAGAGGAGGCCGTAACGTAGAAATCTTCCCTGCGGGCGTGAAAGGAGGGAGAGCGCGGCTGTGTACGATGGGTTTGGATTTTGCTTTTAGGAAAGGAAAAGTCCGGGTCGTCTGTTCTTCCCCGAACGCACGCGGCAGCGCGACGAAGCGCAAGGGCCCCTGATTTCACCTTCGCGTGGGCTGTGGCTTACTTTTTGGCCAGTTTTTATGGTGGCAGAGTGTGGTACTAGATTTGGTTACATTTTACGAGGGTCAGGGACCACCCAGGTCTGGAGGGAGAGTGCAGCAGACCTGAGTGCGCCACGACGTACCGGAGGAGTGAAGACCTTTAGAAGGAATTTCCTGTGTCCGCAGGGCCCGGAGCAGAGCGTGTGATGGCCCCAGGGGCGCTGCGCGCGGCCGGCTCGGGAGCCGAGTCCCGGAGCACGAGTAAACGGGAGCACATTTGCCTCGCGCTCTGCCCTTCTGTAACACAGAGGAGTAGGAGGATGCGGGCAGTGACTTACTGTCCTTTCCCGCCCTGGAGAGGCTCTTTCCAAAATGAAGAGAGTGGCAAAGGAGGTAGTGCTTTTCCGAGAACCGGGGATCCACTTGAGCTGGCGAACAAAAGGCCACCGCTTGCGCGGACCTGGGCGCGGGTGGCGCTCGCCTCCAGTCTCACCTCCTCCCCGCACCCGCGACACCTCGGGTTGCCACAGGCGGCCTTTAAACTCGCTAGGTCTATGCCGGGAGGAAAGCGCGCCTTAGCCCTCGTGCGCGCCCCTCGCCCCCCAAATAATCCATGGGCTTCTCAACACGCACTGCGACCCCGCAGGTTACGCGGCTGCCTTGGCGCGGCTTCTCTGCCGAATCGCCTGCCCCTGGGTTTATGCTAAACCGTGGTCAGAAACTGCACAAGTGCATATATGGCGGCAAAAGGAATTTCGCGGTAATCGCGTCACGCAGTTCGCGGTGTCTTTCACAGGCTGCCTTGGGCTGCGGGAGGTGGTGCTACAGTTGAGAGTCCTTTGTCTTGCTCTGCGACGCGGACCTGGGGTTTTTACAACCTTGTTTCTCTGGTGGAAACCTAACTGCCCCGCCAGGATCACGTACTTTCACAGATGAGTCCATGGTGCTGTATGTAGTAAGAGTGGAAAAGACGCCACCGCTAGGAAACGGTATTCATTTGCATTGTGAAGGAGATTTGACATCTCTGCACTGGGTTTTTACATTTTGCGATATAAGGGGGAGAGGGGAATAAATTTATGGTTTGCAGAATGCAGGGCCCAGCGAGGCTGTAATTTGTCACCTTGATAGAAGAAACTGTGCAGCAACTCGTGCTTTTTCTGACGTCAGAAGGACAACGGAAATAAAACCTGAGCTGGCTGGCTGGCCTCATTGTCAAACATCTCAAGCTGGGTGGATACTCCTGAAATCTATGCAAAACAGCCAAGTCCGGGGCACTGATCTGGTGTAGACCCCCTGGATTTTGGTTCCACCCCAGCCTCAAAATGGCTTTGGTTTTCAGAGTCACTTGTATTCTCAGTGTGTCGCCCTAAGCAACCGGAAACCTGCACGTTTTGGTTTGAGGTCTTAATTCGCTTTTATTTATTTATTTATTTTTCCTAAATGTAGTCAATACACGTTTCCTACCCAGGGCTTACTGTGTGCCTGGTAGCAGCTAACAAGATAAACTTCTACCTTCTGTGAAGCTTCTGTTCTCAGGAGGGAAATAGACTACAGACATGCAGATGTATAAATATCAGGTATTCGTAGTGCAGTGAAGAAGTAAAATGAGATCATGTGATGGGGAGGACACTTGAAATAGAGTGACTCACTGGAAGGGCCTGTATGAGGGGGTGACATTTGTCCTGAGACACAAATGATGAGAAGGGAACAGCTATTTGAATAATTTGGGTAAGAGATCCAGCAGAGGAACAGCAAATATTAATATTATACTTAATGCACTTTGCTTTGCCTATAATTCAGCAGATTAGATTAATATATTTTAAAGGTGCTTTGGAGTCGTTAAATGTGTTCTGTTGCTTATGTATATTTTTTACGTTGCTCCCAGAATTAAGGCGGTGTGGTGAAAAGAGTACCCCGCATCTGGCCAGGCATCTGGCTGTTGCTACTCTTGCCTTTTTCTTTCCCTGGGTGATACTTGAGGGCAAACCCTGAGCTCATTCATTGTTCCCCTAATGTCCAGCACATAGTAGCTGCTTAATAAATACTTGTTGGGTTGAGACCTTGGCCAAGCCATCTTGTTCATCTCTTTATGATGTTGTTGATCATCTCTTCTTTTCCATATCTCATTATCTGTTCCCCTAAGTTTGAAATGTTAGAGTCTTTTTCTACTCTGCCTCTCCTCTCTTACGACCCTCTCCACTTTTGAGCAGTGACCAGGCCCTTGCAAATACTCCTCACACCTATCCCCTTGTCTCCATTCCTCCTGCCCAAGTTCAAGTTCCTGTCATCCAGCCTAGACATGGCAATTCCAGTAGTGTGTTGGGATACAAGATTCGTGGAACAGATATGGAGGGGCCCTGAAGAATCTAAGGGAAGAGGGTAGAGCACAGTACACATGGTTAAGAGTAAAGTAGCCAATTAATGAGGTGTAACAGCTTTCCAGTTGGTAGTTGGTCTCCTCCATACCAAGCTCTGCTCCTCTAATTCCTTTTTTTTTTTTTTTTTGAGACAGGGTCTCACTCTGTTGCCAGAGCTAGAGTGCAGTGGTATCTTCATACCTTACTGCAACCTCAGACTCCTAGGCTCAAGCAATCCTCCTGCCTCAGCCTCCCGAATAGCTAGGACTACAGGCTTGCACCACCACACCTGCCTAATTTTTCTATTCTTTTTAGAGATGGGGTCTTGCTATGTTGCCCAGGCTGGTCTCAAACTCTTGGGCTCAAGTAATCCTTCTGCCTTGGCCTCCTAAAATGCTAAGATTACAGGCATTAGCTATGGAACCTCACCCTGCTCCCCTAATTCAATCTTGACAATTCCATGAGATTTATATTTCTAAAACTCAGTTTGCATTTTCTGAGAACCTTGCTTCTAAAAACCTCTGGGAGTTTCTATCGGCTACAAAGAAAGTCTAAATTTCTTAGCTGATCACTCAGGGCCCTTCACAATCTGACTCCTTGTCTCTTCACATCTTTTTCTGGTATTCCCTTTCTCTCAATCCACCCTATGTACTCCCTCTCACTTTTGAGCCTCAATACCTGTGTGGATTCTAGACTGGAATGCCTCCTGAAATCCTATATATTTGTGATGGCTTAATCCAGATGCAACTTTTCCACCTCTTGGAAGAAGTGTTGATGTATCATCTCATTCTCATTTTCATAAGGATTTGTTACTCCTTAACTTTTTGCTCTATTGTCACTCCAGATGGAGGAAGATGGAGGCTAAGGGTTTAGGCTTTGAGTGAAATGTAAACATCAGATCTCCACTTAACCGAAGATCTTTGGCAAGGTGTTTAGCCATCTCCAAGCCTCAGTTTTTTTCATTTGTTAAATGGTAATGATAATGATAATGGCAGCGGCGGCGGTGGTGGTGGTGGTGGTGGTGGTGGTACCCATTTTATTGAGTTATCCTAAAGATTTAATTAAGATAATGGATGTGAAGTGTTTGGCACAGTGTCAGCATTCCATATATATTGAATTAAAAAGGACTTCAGGTTTCTAATCCCTCAGAGGAGGTGAAGAAAGTTGATCAGTAAAGTTCCCTTTATCTCTGAAATTCTGTGACTATTTCATCTTTTAAAAATACTTTTCTGAAAATAATATCTTAATGGAAACTACCTAAATCTTTTTAGTCTGTGGGAAAATATGCATCTATAAAAGATGGTGTGGAGGTAGAGAAATGATGGGCATAGAAGTAAGCACATTCAAAATTGCCATGATAGACTTCAGAAAAAGACACCTTGGTACACTGACCCTAAATTGTCTTTTAAAACATTATTGAGCCAGATGTGTTGGCTAGCGCCCATAATCCCAGCTACTTGGAGGCAGGCTGAGACGGGAGAATTGCTTGAGGCCAGGAGTTTGAGACCAGCCTGGGCAACATAGCAAGACCTCATCTCTAAAAAAATAACTAAAAGTTTTAATTAAAAAAAATTAGCTAGGTGCAGTGACATGTGCCTATAGTTCCAGCTACTCTGGAGGCTGAGTCCAGGAGTTTGAGACCAGTCCAGCAATATAGTGAGATCACCATCTCAGGGAGAAAAAAAAAAGTACTTATTTCTGAAATTTGATCACATATTCATTTATTTTCCGGTGATAACCTGTGTGTCAGGGTTACTTACTAATAGTAGAGAAGTTCAATGATTGGGAAGGCAACACAGTTTGGGGACACTAGCACTGGACTTGCAATCAAGAAACTCTGTTTCAAGTGAGGTTATTATGTGTCTTTGCCAAAAACTAGCAAGATACCCTTGAACAACTCATTTAACATTTTTATGCCTCATTGTCTCATCTGTCCAGTGCTAATAATAGTATCATATTGGAACTGCCTACCTTAGAGTTGTGCACCTGCAATGAGAACAGAGCTGAGAAAATCCTTAAACAATAAAAAAAAAAAAAAAAAACTTTTCAAGATGATAGTTATCTGGTGTTAAGCACACTGCTAACCTGCAGAGTTAGGGGATGGTTTTAGATTAGTGATTCTCAGAGCTGGCTTCACATTAGAGTCACCTGGGGTCTTTTAAAACCTACCAATGCCCCGACTCCATCTCTAGAAATTCAGATTTAGTTGGCCTGGGTTGGAGCCCAGATATGGGAACTTAAAAAAAAAAAAAATTAAAAAAATAAAAAACCATCAGGGGTAATTCTGATAGCAGTGGTTTAGATTTATAGCAAAGAAAACAAACAAACAAACAAATCAGAAATAAAATGAGGACCTCCGTATGTTGCTTGATAAAGTCTTAGTAATGCAAAATTATGAGCTTGACTGACTTTCC